CGTGCCTCCATGGGCATTTTTCCCCCCCCCCCCCGAGTCTTTCAAATGGAAAATGTAAAAAGTAATCGGATGCGAGTGAATATATTGATACTTGGATGCACAAGTCAATCCACATACCTACAAATATTTTTTTTCTAAACATGGATCGACAGTAATAATATTGTCAAGGCGCCAAAGGACGAGATGGGAGGACGTACACCTCATAGATGAACGTTGACAATTGATATTGTGCGCAAGTGTCGCATAGTAAGCTGCATTTACGCGTAGTCCATCATACATCGAAACGAGCAAACGGAGCAAACAATGGCTGTGCGCTTCATTTGGGATTCAGGTCCCGTGTGCTAGAGGCCTCCTCGACGCACCCGAGTGGCGTACCAAGGAAGCCGATTTTTTTTTTTTTTCTTCTCCTTCTGTTCCATCCACTGTGGACGATGGATTAGATAATTGTTCGCAAAAACAGCTCGATCGATCCAATCCAAGTTACCGATCAGAGACGAAAAATAATGCACGCGCGCACGAGCGATCGATCTTTGCGTATCGACGATTCATAGTACATACGAAAGCAAACAAAAAAACTGCAGCTGTTCTCGCCTTTGGGGCCCCGTGTGCCTTGACGCACTTTGGATATCTTTATTTAACAGGTCGCCGAGCATTTCTCATTTCCCCCCCCCCCTATAAGTACAGTTACATGAGAATCCCACTACTTATAATATTAATATTTACTTTTCAAAAATAATCCTCGAATTATCAGAGAAGAGAGAAACAAAAAAAAAAAAACAACCAACCGAAGAACCGATTTTTTTTATTTCCAGCTGGAAAAGCTCATCGGGAAAAATTATTTTTTGAACCAATCGGCCAAGGAAGCGTTCAAGGCGTACGTGCGCGCCTACGACTCGCACCACCTCAAGCAGATCTTCGACATCGAGACCCTGGACTTGGTGAAGGCAGCCAAGTCCTTTGGATTCGTCGTGCCACCGAACGTCGATTTGAGTATCCTTTTTACCAATAAATCACAACGAAAATCGATCCGCAATCAACTCCCGTGACTGTATGTATACCACACCCGCGACTCCTCCCAATATCCTGTCTTTTCGCAGCAATCGCGTGTTTTCCTTAACCAAGGCCTTTGCAACAGAAGTGGGAGTGGGCAAGGATTCGCGGCCACGCAAGCGCCTGGGCGGAGGTGGTTACGGCTACTTCAAGAACTTGAACGCCGAGTCCGGGGCTGTCAAGCGAGTCCAGCGCACCAAGACCTTCAGGCAAGTTGGCAAGCCCTACAACAAAAACGACAGGCGTCAGTTTTCGAGGTGAGGCACGGCCGATTGGAGAGAGTTGTTGTGTTGACTGTACTGTGTGGAATAGGTACTGATTATTTTTTTTCTCCAAATAAACAAGATTTGTTTCTCTGCAACAAAAATGGAGGTTCATTTTACATTTTTTTTTTTTTTTTTTTTTTTTTTTTCATACACACTTAGCATAATCATAGTTCAGTGTCGTGTCGAGTCGACTCGAGACGCGGGACCATTAGAATTCGGATTGGGGTAGCACAATTTCTTACGTAATACGTACACAGGTCGTTGGTCAAAGTATTTTTATTTGAATATTCGCGTAATCGAGTAACCAAGAGTTGATTTATTTTTTTAATTACAACCTGAACAACGTACGTTTTGTTATTATTAATGAAAACAATACTGTAAATTATAATGATGGAAAAAACAAAAAAGAAAAAAAAAACTGTTGAATAAAAGTCCATTAACGAGTATAACAAAACACAAACGCCTTTATTTTGCTCAGTAATGACTATACGTGACGAATCGCCCCCAGATATGCAACGCCGTCACCATATCCAAGACCAACTTTTGTCCCTAGCAGCGAACAACGCGGGAGAAATCTCATTTGTACGCGTCCTTATTTGATTCTTAATGGCTTTGGCGTGTACTATTACGGAGATGCTCACGCCCACAAAATTGTTTCTCTTTTTTTCAAAACACAGTAGTGGGTGTATGAAAACGTTAACGAGCCTCGCGTGGTTGTGCCTTAATGTCGCAAAAAGCCAAGGTTACGGGCTTATTAACGAGCCTCGGATGTAAATTCGCTCGTTCGACGTGGATGCTGGAACGATCTTGAATATTCTAATCTTGGGCGAATCGAGGATTCGCTGTTTTGCATCATGAGACACGTCGTGGGTGTACACGAAAGATTCATACATACATTAATCACGGATCATCATCATCATCATCATCATCATCATCATTGTTATTGTTATTATTTATTGTTTCTTTCCTCATATTTTCACCGCGTCGTGATGTTTCGTACACGTTAAACATACACATGTACCTGTGCACCAAAACAATCATAAATATTGATGAAATCACCCGTACCATCCCCTTACTTCGCAGCTCCCGTTCAAATCGAGCTTCCGCAAGCACGACTTTCAACCGTCGTACATGCATGGTTAATCCAAGGTCTTTGCAGTGATTGTCCTTGCGCGACCTCAAAAGAACCATTTGATCGAAGCCACGTCCTTTCGCCAGCCCTCGCGTTCGTATTCGCGCACAATACCCAAAAAATAGACTCCAAGCGAAGGAGAGACGAGGGGAAGAGCCAGCCCACGTGTCGCACGGGTGTCTCGGAATGACGGGGGTAACACGCCTTCTTGCGTTACTCACATGTGTCAGCTTCCAAAGATTCGGAACGAAAGATGGAAAAGATTTGCGACGTCTTTTAGAGATTTTTTCTAAAAAAAGAAAAGGAAAAAAAAAAAAGAGGTCTATAAAAATAGTTGGTATAAATGCTCAAGGGGACAGGGAAGGTACAAGTTTTTTTATACTTATTTATATGAAGGGAAAAAAAAAAAAAAAAATCAAGATTGCACGTAAGTTAAACGAAATCAAGAACCTGGGACATGAAAGTAAGTATATATATATTATGTATGACACATATAGAGTGGAGGAAGAAAGTTGGGACACAAGTATATGTATATGTATACACACGGGTGCAGGCGCGTGGGAGAGAAGAACCGGGACGGCGAAATTCGCGCGCGTGGGAGATACACTTTACTTATCCTCGGCTCCTCTGTGTGTGTGTGTGTGTGTGTGTGTGTGTGTGTGTGTGTGTGTGTGTGTGTGTGTGTGTGTGTGTGTGTGTGTGTGTGTGTTTATAATGTTACATCGTACGGATTATGTTATGCGATGTGCAACGCATACGTAACACAAACCAGTGTACATATATTGCCCAAATGTTGGCGCATGTACGGCTTTCATCCTCTACGAGATCTCCGACACTCTCCTTCGTATATTGTTAACGCTGCACTTGCGGAGACGAAGATAGATTGTCATGCGTGCGGTACACGTATGCGCACTTATTGCTGAAGCTTTCGAGCTTGGAAAATTCAATGGACACTCATGAGATATACAGAGAGAGAGAGAGGGGAGGGGGGGGGTATTAACGAGCAATCAATTGTGAGGCAAGGAAAATCGTCGAGAGACCACCATGGAATCGATGGAATAAATATTTTCCAGTGTTGTTTGGATGCCCAGGGATACGAAAGAGTATAAAACAGGTTTGTAAGTATATCGCGGTAGGTGCTTATTGTTTGGTAAGAATTCATTTCCGGCCGCAGAGAGAGAGAGAGAGAGTATTTCCATGTCCCCTCGGATTTTTGTGCGCCGATCATCCTCGTATAGACGCATAAATTATTATACTTTTTCTATAGGCGTGTGTATAGGAGCTTCACCCGAGTTGATACGAGAGAAAAAAAAAAAAAAAAAAGATTCCAGAACAAACAACGGCCCAACGACCCAAGGGGAACGAGGGGGGGAGGAGGAAAGATCTCCGCGTGGGTGGAAATCTCAATGAGTCGAAAGAAACGAGAGATGTGATGCTGCGCGCTGGTGGCCGTAATATGCGTGTCGCAAGGCCGGGATCGAGAGAGGTGCGTTACAAGTATACAATGTATATATATATATATATATATATATACATACGTACATGCCTCTCTTTCCCAGTCGTTTCTGGCCGCGTATACATATAGGTGTACATGCAGCAAGTACCTACGTATATATAGAGAGGAAGGAGTGGACCGGATTAACCGGATATTACGGTAACTCGGTGCCGATGCCTCCCTCCCCCCGTATATACTTACTCCCGTGCTATACTCGCCCTTTCTCTCGCAAGCGACTCCATCACCCGAGCGTACACTCCTATACAAGTATATGTACTTACACTTGTGTGGCATACATACACCTGAGAAAAATCTCTATCTGCTGGTGCCTGTTTTCCTCTTTTTTTTTTTTTTTTTTTCTTTTTTTATTGTGACCTTTTGCCTAAATATTGTTTTTTTTTTGTTTTTGTTTTTTTTTATTCATTACAATATAATGTCACAAGGTTCGACAAAGTCACCCCGAGTGCTCCTCGCCACTCGTCATATACATATACACACGGGCGAATAACGGTCGAGCCCCTCGTTGTTGCACACACGCTGCACGTTTCCAATATAAAAAAGCCTTGCGCGAGAAAAATCGGCACGCGCGCTTTACTCCACCGGCGCCTTTCCGATCGAGCCCCAAACGAGACCCACGCGCGCTGTACATCGGCACGCTTATTTCTCCATAAATATTAGAATCTATATATACTTACGTACTTACTTCCGATGATGGACATCCCATAACGATGCGAGTCGGGCAAACGCGAGTACCAATTGGTGGTGCACCATCTGCATTTATAAAGTCAGAGATGCGCCAATCGGCGTGTACGATTAAGCTTTATTATATCGTCGAAATCAAGTGTAAATCGTTGGTTAGACAGTGGGAATATGAGGAATATATAATGCGAGCGCGCATTTTTTTGTGTACCCTATCGAAAACTGCCGGTTCCACGCGTGTGCGAATGAAAAAAAAAAAAAAAAAAAAAAAAAAAACAACCAACCGAAGAACCGATTTTTTTTATTTCCANAAAAAAAAAAAAAAAAAAAAAAAAAAAAAAAAAAAAAGAAAAACCCGACGCGTGTCTGTGCCTACACCAGCGTCTACATAATTATACATACGTGTACTATACTTACACGCGTGCCAAGTATTATATGTATTTCACGCTGTCGAGACGGCAGCGCGGCTGATAAGAAAAAGCAACTTCTCTACACGAGCTGGAACAAGTTCGATTTTCGCTATGGCCATGCAGCCAGTATTTTTTATTGTTTTTGCGTTAAATTTACATAATATATGTGTATATACAACATTGCAGGTAGTACGAAAAGGATGAAAAATCAACACGTGTGGGGAGGAGGCATCGAGTTTGGATTGAAAAAGTATACGTATAGTCGACTATAATGAGCACTCCTTATTTTTATTATCAAAAAAACCAACACCCAATGAAGAAATGAACGAAGGAGCCAACAATCCGAGCCGTCCATATACACTTTCACAAGGTATATAAAATATACGGTGTGCCGAGCGCGCACATTTTGCGACGCCCACGCGCGCGAAATACCTTACACCGGGTATAGGTATATATGGCATAGAGATCTCGCGCGTGGCACCCACGCGACACGCACACACGCGGGGAGAACGTTTTGTAATAATTTATACATACACATAAGATACGGAGGGGGAAACGATTTCCATCGATTTTTTTTTTTTTTTTTTTTTTCTCCCCTCCGTAAACGCTGTATACATCTCGAAATATGAATCTTTGCGTTTTTCTTTCCTTTCTTCCTTTCCACCTAGCGATCTTCAACACCTTTTTACATACATATATGCAAGAGATACTAATCAGCGGACGCTCGGATATCACATGTAGGTGTGTATACAATCGTTTCGGGGGACTCGTAAACGCGAACGATCGTCCTCGCGCAGTTTTATACACACAAGCTCGACATGGTCAAATTCATCCGACAAAGTGTACATGTGATTCGCAGTTTACACTCGACGATTATAGAACGGAAACGACAATCTTAATAGCTCCCGCTCAGTGTAGTAATAAGAAAAAAAAAAAAAAAAAAAAAAAAGAAGCAGAATCGTGCTGCTAAATAATCCTCCCGAATCGAGAGAAGAGGAAAAATATTGTATGCGCCGATAAATCGTGTTCCCTAATGAGGTCATCGTCTGTCGCGAGTAAGAAGAAGAAGAAGCGTAGGTATATCGGTGTCGCTAATACATCGGGCGCTAAAGTTATTAATTATGCATACCGAGTGGTGTTGGCGCGATTGATTATTGCACACCCAGTACACATGATGCGATTCACTACTCGATGACACTGCATTGTTTTATATATACATGTCGGCGTGAAAGACTTGTGCTAAAGCATTCCCAATTAAAATGATAAAAGCTCACAGGGACCATTTTGGGTCATTGGCATATACGAGCTACAAAGTGACGGGACCAATCATGCGAGAGAGCGAAACTAATGGCAATCAGTCCGATGTATGGAAGTATAGGGTTTATACCTTACCCATACGTTTTACACAAAAACCTGTATGTAGCTTCAATCATTAGCACTTATTGTATGAAAGTGACTTGTTCATTACGTGCATCAATTCACGTGTACGAGTCTCCTCCTCGTCATTGTGGTCTCGTGTTGTTATTTTTATTGTTGCATAATGAACGAGAGGCATCAGGTATATATATACATACATTGTAGGTATATACGCTTCTTCGTGAGGGACTGTGGCAATCCCATTGTTCCGTTGGCGGAGAGGACAAAGTGTGTACCTATTATATATAAATCCATGCATGCACTCTCGAGTTGATGAGAGAAGCCCCACCTTTCGTATTATACCATTCCATCTACTCTCTATGGTCCGAGATGGTGAGAAATTTTACTTTGCCTTGATTTTTTTTTTTTTTTTTCCTCCGAACTTATTTATCAAGTGTTGGGTACACGTTAACCAAAGTTGCGTGACTTGTTTTGGTGTACGCGCGACGTACCTGCGTGTATACTATCGACGTTTACCTCTTTTTTTTTTTTTTTTTTTTTTTCTTGCCGCTCTAGTATATATCATAGTAATCGAGTTACGATTAATTCTTGTAAAATATTGACAAGTAATTTGCAAACACTTGAGTATCCTATTTTACTCTTGCTCTGTAAAGTTGTAAGTATGTTGCATATTGTACAGGTAAAAGGGGAAATAAAGAAAATCATCGACCCGATTCAATTCCATCGATACAGGTGTAGGTACATAATTATATAGGTGAATAATCAAAGTCCATTGTGGTATGATAAAAGCGCATGGCCTTTTTTTTCATTACAAGGAGGAAAATGACCGCAGGTTGCCAATCCACCCAGACGCGTCAAGGATGAAAAAGGAATCATTTTTCCGAGCCCATCGTTAACACTTACGCTCGACGAGCGATTCCTCGAACCGAATCTTATTCCATACTTTTTCCCTACATTCGCGGCTGTGTATGCTCTTGGATCTGATTGCACTTGGTTTTTCCAGCATCCGATCCGATCGTTCATTTTAAAATCTCTCACAAACTCTCCAACCCCGCGTGCAATTGGAGATGAAAATGCGCTTACCTGCACCTTATACATCTCACTTTTTTGCATCCGACAGCATCAAGTACCCGCGCTTACAAACGATGATTTCTTTCGCGGAGCAGTGAAATAGCGTGTACTTGCTCTCATAAACGCGAGCAGAGCAAAAAAAGCATAAAGAGAGAGGAAGAGAAAAGGTGTTCCCGGAATGAAGAAATAAAGAGATCAGCACGCGCGCGTGAAACGAAATTAGCCTCTCGCCGGCCATCGCAGCTCACTACACGCGGGCCGTTTCTTCGCCCATAAACATTAGTAGGCGCGTCGGTTGCTTACACCGTACACGTGAGGGAGGGGGGAGAAAAAAAATAATAATAACGAGAACGAAGGTGGACGCGTAGGTGCGAAAATTTCGTGCGCGCGTGTCCGTGAGTTAAAAAAAAAAGAGTACCGATTTATCGGACGCTCGCCGGAAACGCGAGTAGGAAAATGCTAATGCGCGATCGGCTACAAAAACACAGTCATTTTATTAAACGAGCGCGTTAAATTTCGTCACGCCCACTGTCGCCTTGTAGACCTACCGAACGAAATGACGAATCTTGGATTTCTTTTTTCATTTTTCTTGTGTAATCCCCTCTTTTCTTCGCGTACGGAAGAGAGTAAAAAAAAGGTTTTTTTTTTTTTTTTTTTGTTTAGGAGCGCACCCGTGTAAAATATGGTGTTGCGCGACCCACGCGTGAGCTCATTGTATATATACACATAGACGATATTTTGAAAGCTCGACTCCTCTACTCGCATTTATATATGTTTGATTTCTTTGATTGTACGCGGTCCTGAGATGATATCGTTATTTTATAAACCGATCGACGTCTCAAACCCGTGTGTTTTAATGTATGCAAGGATTTGTTATTTTTTATTTTCTTTTTTTCTTTTTTAATAATAAAACACAGGATGTGCTCGTATAAATCGGTTATTTCGTTGAGCGTAAAATTGGTGTACCTAAAATAATAAGATGCGTAACTCGTGTGCACATTGTATTAATGATAACGATAATAGTGTTATCGGTGGTGGAGTTGAAATGGCATGAAAAACGATAAAACCTGCAGACATTGAATGATTGTTGCTGAGAATCAAGTTCATGAAATGTTGTAAAATCAACAGCAGGAGGTAGAGAGGGAGAAAGAAAGGGCTCATTGTTGCAGGATGGCGAGAGAACGAATGTATTTATACACGACCACAAGTGTTCTACGGGTGCCATGCACAGTACCTATACATGCTTGTATGAAAGAAAATATATATGGATAGTGGGCGTCGAGGTGGTGTATCGCACCTCTTCGTGCTAATGCAACTGTTTTATTATTTATGATCTATTCTCGTCTATGAGCGAATGAGCTCGTAATAATCTGTCTTTCACTGATCGATAAATCAAATTAATTTTTATTTTTTCATTTTAATCGTATTATCAATCATTTGTGTGTATATCAGACCGGGCTTTTCCATTAATTTAGCAACTGACATTGTTTGGGGGTAATTTGGGAGCTCTATGGGTATTTATCTTTAAAGATTACCCACTAAGTGTGGCAAATTAAATTTATCATTGTTTACTTTAAAACCAATTCATCAGTTACTGAAGAAAAAAAAAAAGGTTGAAAATTTCAACCAACTGCTCTTGTACCCAATATTGTATTCCTCTGGATGGTATAAGCAGTTATCGATTTTAATAAAATTCAAATCACCTTCATACTTTACTCGGCAATAGCAAGAATCATGTAAAACATGTGTAACTACTGTATTTTTTTTTAGTATACTTTTTTTTTCTACAACGGTAAGTTTATTAGTAGTTGCTACATTGAATATTCCAAATAAACTAATAAATTGGAAATAAAAAACAAATTGTTTTTAAAGTAAGTACTCATTCAACTTTACTAAAGAGAGAGAGAGAAAGTCAGTGAAAAATCATAAATTTGCGGAATTTATCATTTTGCAATAATTTACAATGCAGAGATCGATTGGTATCGGTATTCATAAGAATTATCGACACCTACTCGATCGGTAAGAACGTAATCCTCTTTGCTTCTGCTAGATCGGTCAAAAAGTTATTGACCTAATTTTTGGCATTTCGTTATTTGGATAGCCATGCGAAAATACGTCACGTACCCGCTACAAAAATATAAACTTCATAGTACAATATAAATACCTAAATTGCGAAAAATAAGATAGGTACGATGAACAAGAATCCCGTACATGCATCACCTAATATGCGCGATTGCGAAAGGGGCACATCCGCACATGTATTATATGTATATGAAATCGGAGTTTCGGAGCTTTATATATAGGTAATACATAAACAATTCCGGGCGCATGCGTCTTCGATCCCCCTCCTTTCCGGCATCGCGTCACCCGTCAGGTACACTATACGACTACTTATACCTCGCCGCCACGCCGATCTTTTTACTGATTCTACTCGTTTTGCTCCCACCCCCACCCTGAAGGAGATCGTGCACGAGGAGTCGAGGATATAGTACATGTAGAAATAAAAAAAAAAGAACATGCTTGCCTTGCAAGTGTGGAGCGAAACAGAGATAACGTGCATGTAAGCGCGTTACGGCCATCTCTTTCTCTCTCCTTCTTGATAGGTATCGGGGATCGGGGCGTTTTTCTGCACCTTCTACTTTCTTCCTCCTCCCCCTCCTCCGCTGCTCTCTGTCTGTCCGCCCGCTCTCGCCGCCGCCGTCACCGACCAAACTCGAATCGTCGTATACTGCTCGTATATTGTACGGCCGGAGGAAGTAGTGAAGTACATTAGTACATGCGACGCAGTTGAGCTGAGGCTTTCGTAGCGTCAACATACAACTGAACAACACGTAGCGGGAGATCGAGAGAGAGAGAGAGAGAGCGTGTATAGTTGTACATTAACGCGTTCGTGCCTTAGGAAAAAAAAAAAAAAAAAGAAACACACCCTCGGGAGTACTTTTATCCTTTTCACTCCCTGTTTCTCCCGCGCATTGAAAAAAAACAGCAATTGTACATTTAAAAGACTGCCGACTCCGAACTGTGATCGTGTTTACAATATCATATAATACCTACAAGTACTTGAGAGTGTGTTGATACTGTGTGCGTGCAGTCTATTTGTGGGATAACAACAATACAGTCGTAATCAATCGTGTATCACAGCAGTCGCGAGAGTATACACAAGAAAATCGACAATTACTCATCACAGTATATATCAGTACATCGTCAGCGCGCGGTAAGGAATCTGGTGATCCTCTCTTGCTGGAGTTCTGATGCGATAATCACCGTCGCTGCCGCCTTGGAATTTCTGTGTATACACAACATACCGACAAATAAAGCTCTGCCGCTGCGACTGTTTCTCCCCGTCGCGTGTAAAATTCTAACCTCTCGCGCACGAGAGGCACGGCATACTTGTGCGTACTGCTATTGTTGAGAAATCGATCGAGATCTTTGATCGTCCGGGGCACCTATTTTCTACATACGTGTGTCTATATACACAGCCATACGGTGTATTACATACAAAGCAAGAAGATAAAGACGTAAGAGAGAGGGTGTGACCTGCGCCCTCTTCTCCTCCTAAATTGCGGGGGCCCCGGATCATCACCGTATATACATACGCCTACATACTTATATATAAAATATATACACATGCATGCAGCTTCTCTCAAGTGCAGCCATCAGAGCATTGTAGTCGAGGTTAGGTTCTCTCTTAGCTAATTTGTTTATAACCGTATATTTTCTTTGGGTGTGAGGAAAGATAAGAGCCATATACCGTTGTTTTTTCCGTGGGAAAAAACAATTGGAAAAAAGTTAGAGGATCGGTAAGGAGGGCCCGAGCCTTCCTTTGCCTCGAGTTGATCCTGCAGATCGATTTCGCCATGTGCGACAACGCCAATAACTCGACGACGCAGAGCATAGCTGATTACCTGTCGCAGTTGCTCAAGGACAGGAAACAGCTAGCGGCCTTTCCCAATGTGTTCATGCACATTGAGCGTCTTCTCGATGAAGGTGAGTGCAAACACTTGATTGTTTATAATTTTATCACTTCTTTTGCGGGTGCGTGAAACGGGTTGGGTTTGATCGGTAATTCGGAGCAGAAGGAGATACGGTCGAAAATACCGCTGCCGTTACACACTGCAGCGGGTCGCGAACGCCTTGTAAATACTCCGGAATGCGCACACACATAAAGCCACAAGGAATGCGGGCGGTTTGTGTATGTAATATTATGTTTCGGAGCACAGAGCGCGTTTCGACTTCTGCCGTGTATAGCTATATATGTGAATACAGATGATCAATAAAACGAAATTAAATTTACTCGGGTGTGTATTTTGCAACAATATTAAATTGTTTCCAATCGACCTGTTATGTGATTACAAAGATGCATATTTGCCGTGAGATTTGAGATTTTTAACACCGCGGTGATTAAATCCTTACATAAATTTAATTGCAAAGTTAATGCGTTTATGTAATGATTTTGCGGTATCTTGGGCGTCATGACTACATTTACTTACCGTTTAGTAGTTACTTATTAGTACTTTTTTCTGATGTATAATCGCGCATTTTTATCTAAATTATTCAACACAAAGATTAAGTGGACTCGACTACGCTGTCACGCACATAGCGAATCAAATGTATGCATCGACGCATAATCCGCGTAATCATACGTTTCAAGAAAGTTTGACACGTCACATAAGTATGAATATCGGATACTTATAACTGTCCCCGCATATTATAGCACACAGATGGACATATATATGTGTATGTAACATGGTTGATCTAGAACAACAATACCATGATGTACGTGTAACATACCTATAGTCCTCATACCCATGTACACATAACTCTTTTGGAGTACAAGCACAAGAGTCTTTATCCAACAGCTTCCTTGGAGCGTCAAAACCCATCATCTTTCGGAATAGAGATCCAGGAGCGCATAGTGCGAGGCGTGTTTTTCTCAACTCGCCTCTGCTCTTTCTCTCTGATGGGGGTATCTCCGTTTCGCAAGTAAGACGAATATAGCCGCGCGAGTATAGGTATACACGTATATTCACACGTACGAGCGAAGAGCCGAGTATCCGCGGAATTCAAGTCAGGAGGAGCTGCTCGAAAGAGATCAAGTGAAAATAAGCAGCAGCAGCCACACTATAGACATCGTATACAACACATGGCCCCCCCCCCCCACCCGATGCTGATACGAATTTCGATCGCGACCCATATCGATGAGGAAAAAATGGCCCTGCTGATATACATGCGTGTAATCCATATAAACGTGAAATCGCAACCTTTACCGAGAAAACCTGGACACTTTGTGATGTACATTACAGACACAACAAACAAACGATCGTATGGTCATGAGGAGCAGCAAAAAAAAGGACGCGTTTCTGCAGAAACTCGGTAGTCGCGCGTTCGGACAATTATTTACAAGCCCCACAGAAGCCAGCCGGTTATCGTCGTCGTGTGGCGATGGAAGGAAAAAAAAAACTGGGGAACCCGAACGATGAAATTGCAACGTCTGTCATGCGCGCGCGCGCGAGGGGTGTTGTATATACCTTATACTATTGAGCAATTTTCAAAGAAGCAAAGAAACAAAAAAAACAAAAAAGCCGGTCCAGCGCAATTTTAATCCGCAACCGGGTACAACCGTAATAGGTCCTCCCTGTTCTGGTAAGCGCAATTGCGTCAGTCTTTCCTCTATGTACCCCCGGTTTTGCTAAAATGGCACCATAATGTACAGCACGAGCTTTGATTCCTTGCGGCTCCCTCTCTCTCGCGCGCGCGCGAAGGAGAGCCTCGATTTATTTTTTATAAGCGAATTGCCGGCGGACGAATTTACGAGGTGCTCACTCGTACGTTATATATATATATATATGCTTACGAGCACGCGCCTTTTTAACACGTATACATTTTGCGATGGTACGGCCGTGTTTGTGAAATGTATATAAAAAGCTCGCTCGGCATATGTATATATACATACATGGAGCCCCTCTCCCTCTGTAGAGCTGCTACTGCGATTTATTGCAGTCGCCTAAAATTATTAATGGCGCGATCTGCTTCTGCTTACGCAATTCGGGGGGATGATTATTATTATTACTATTATAGTGCGTCCGCCCGCACCTGTAATATATACACGCGTCCATTAATTTTGGTTTTAAATGTGGGCGCGTGGAGGTAAATGAAAAATTGAAGTCTTACTTGGACGATTGTTTTGTTCAAATAATCATAATATATATTATGTTGCCTTGTATGTTCGGCTTGAAGTGTATAGTTTGAAGAAATAAAAAAACGTGATTTGCGAAAAAAAAAAAAAAATAATAATAATAAATAAAGAAGAAAGTAATAATAATTGCACATTCTCGTTTCTGATCGTCACAAATGAGGATAATAACATAAATCAAGCGTCGATTATCGAGTTAATACGTATTACACAAACAGCAGAGACCGAATTGCCCCGCAGGTGCCTTTCACGCGTGCGCACACATATACATGTACGCGTGCAGTTTTGTGTCCTCTCCAACCTTTTTTTTTTTTTTTCCTCCACGTTTCTCTCGTGCATGTATATAAGTATATAAACGATCATTGTCGAAAAAAACTCGTTTGGATCCTGGAAAGCTGCGCGCCCGAGAGAAAGCTCGGTCGCACGCACCGCGCAAACTCTCCCTCTTCAACTTTTTTTTTTTTTTTTCCCCTGTAGCTATACTCCAAAAGTAAAACCATTCTTTTTTTCCTCCCAAGCAAAAGTTGTAAAAAAAAAAAAAAACTCTGTTGCAAAATTTCCACTTGACGGACACCTTTTGCCGTGTCTTCTTTTGTAATATATATACCTGCGTCTAATTTTCTCTCGCCGCAGCTGCAAGAACGCAAATTAGAGAGATATACTATGCGCAGTACCTATACCTATACGTATATACATACGAGTGCAAGCGTGAATGGGCTAATATTGCGACTATGAATGAGCAAACGCGGCTGCTTCTCGGATAATAACTCGTCGTCTCTGATGGTGTCTACTCAGGGAAAGTCTTTTTTATTTTTTTTTTTTTTCCTTCAGTTTTCAGAAATTCTCCACGCACGCATTCATGTACAGTAACGAGCTTGTATACACCCGTTAACGGCGCTCTGTGCGAAAAGAAAAATTTTTACCGTGACGCTTTGTTGGCTATAATTGTCGCTTCTTCCGTACGTAAATGTGTAATGGCGTCGTAAAAGGCGCGAGAGATATTTTACGACGTATCTTACAAATCGACAGCCAATACTTGGGTCTTTTAATTATTTTTGCTTGTGTGCGTCCTCTCTTTCTTTCTGTTCTTCGTCAAGTTGTAAGTTGGCAATATCACAGTATACGCACCCCCGTAAATCGGTATTCGATACCTTGCGCGCGTATTATACACAGGGCGCCTTGCGACAGGATACAAAAAGAAAGGGGGGGGGGGGAACGTAATTTAAAAAATGGGCCGAGATACGCGGCGTCGGGTGTATATGGATATGATCGGTCGGTGTGGCTATCGAGTTACAAATATAATATACCTACGTCACGTACGTAGACGGGCGAAACGCGCGTGCCCGAATATCCAGAGGCACGCGCGAGTGGTATATTACTGAATTTCTTTTTTTTTTTACCACGTATAATTAAGGTAAGTAATTTTTTGAAATTTTTAATTTTCATTTCCCACTTCCGTGGTGTTATAGGCAAATGTTTTTTTTATTTTTACCAAGACAACATGCATAACTCATTTAGAGAGCGTAATACATTTTTTATTTTTTGATGGCTCTCATTCAAAAAGGGTGATTAATGATTGATCATCTTTACGTGCGCTTCGGTAAGTTGAATCGGATTTGCAAGAAAAATTGCGATCGAATTTAAATATATGTATAGTGAAAAATAGACATAGATAGTAAAGAGACACATCAAAGCGTTACGCCAACTTTAATTTATCAACGTTTATGTACATTTTTTTTCCCGCACCGGCAGCAACAACCACCAGCTATGTTTTTGCCTCGGTTTTTGCAACGTGTCATTATGTAGGTACTCATACAGAGATCGAATAATTGATACTCGAGGGAGTGCGAGACGAGAGACTTGTATTATATAGGTGCAAAAAATTAATAAACATAAACATGTATACCGATTTCCTTTTTTTCTCTTTCTTTCTCCATCAAAGAGAAATCGAAGCACGATTATTTATGCGCACCCGCGTCGACTTTAATACAAACTTGCTTCGTCGACCTGTATAAATATAGTATGTATGATATAAATATACACACATATTGCTGAAATTTCATCATCAGCACTTCCGTTATAATATTTCGCATGACAAACATTTACAAACAAGCAATAAAAAAAAAAAACAACAATAATAATCTCTTTTCCCTCCGCCATGATCGTGGCATGTGTTCCAAATATAATATAATGTACCTCTGACATAATGCAACTGTAAATCAGTCCATCCGCCCTCGATTCTCGAAAGCACACACCGGAAAACGAGATTTATAAAAGTAAAGCAACTTACATCCCCGCGCGCGCGCACACACGCCCGATAAATAACACCACCATCATCCCCTCGTCAATCTATTGAAAAGATACAAGAGAGCAGCGGCTAACACTCTCGTTCTCTCGTATCAGTCTCAAGTATATATACGAGAGAGAGAGAGAGAGAGAGAAAGAGAGTAGCACACCCAAACGTGCGCGTGACCCAGTAGCGCGAATAGATCTCGTCGTCACGCGCGTGTATTTTCTCCTCCTCTTATTTTTCACAGGTGTAGTGCAGCCCCCTACACGTATATATACATGGAGAATGTGACGCAACTCTAGGGACAGCGCAAGATAAATAAATATGTATATATATATATGTATATGTACAAAAGTAGGAGGAGGAGGAGGAGGAGGAGAGATTTTTCAGCCAAAGTGGTTTATGCGTGAGCGTGTCCACCCGCGAAAACTCGGCCGTCCCCTTGCCTCCCCCGAGAGCTGATGCGGCTCCACGCCAGCCGGGTCAACGGGCTAATCTTCCTCT